TCATTCCTTTGCACATTTGAAACTTTTAAACCACACATATAAATCTATAAATAATATATTGTTTTGCATGTTATACAATTTTATAACCATGGCATCATAATATACATATTCAGCTGAAACTTGCTTTTTCTCAACATTGTTTTTGAGACTTACCTACTTTAATACATGATACTGTATTAATCTTAAATAATGTATGTTAAGGTTATATGCAAATATCACATTATTTTAATTCATTCTCCTACTGATAAAGAGAGTTTTTTTATATATCAGTTTGTTGTACTATTGGGGGTGCATATGAATAAAGCTCTGCCTCAGAACATACCACATGGTATTGTTACTGTGAGAAGCAGCTCAATCACAAATCAAACTTTCTTTTGTTGAGTTAGCTTCTTGTGACTTATAATTGGACAGAGGGAATCACAGTAACTATAAATGTCAGATGCTTAAAAAGTACAGAGGTATTTGAAGGAACCCATACTCTATTAAGGATAAATACTGATTTCTTTTTACCCCAGAATGTCAAAATACATTACTGTGGACTCGGATAGTTTTTCAAAAATGTCTGAATTTTGGATTTAGCTCCATAATTTCAGTGGAGTTCAGTAATTAGTTTCTGGATTGGTAATATGATTTTACCATTGGATGAGCATAAATATACAAAAAACCAGGCTCATTTTTCCTTTTCAGAACTTAGAAAACGTGACAAATTTCAGATGCTGAACCAACATTAGATTTCATAGCATAAAACTAACATAGCATAATGGATATAAAGCTCATACTTCAAACCACTAATTTTCCCTAATTAAATCTAAATATATATGATATATTGAAATACCACTCACACACCTCCTACCTGAACTTTGGTTTTAATCATCCCTGAAAGAGAATGCCTATTCTGACTGTCCCTTCAGTGATACTCAGTTTCAATTGCTCTGGAGGTTGACTGCCTATCTTTTAGAGTCCTCAAATACTCTTTGTAATCCATATTAGTCTCATGGTGGCCAAGTTGTCTTCATTTAAGTTGGCTGATACATCAGTTAACCTAAGTTAAGTTATTCAATGGTAATAATCCCTAAATCAAAATTACTTACAGGAAGGTTTCTTTCTCTTCATGTTATTTGTCAATTGCAGTCATCTTCAACTTTGTTCCATCATACTGGGACCCAGGTGAAGGGGCATTGCCTCTTTGGGCCATGCCATTCTTGTCATACAAGGAAGAGAGAGATGTTAGAACTAAGTAACGACTATTAAAGTTCCTGCTCAATGTGGCACTCATCACTTCCTTTCATATTTCATTGAACAAATTAAAGCAAAAGGCCAAGCCTGCCATTCAACAAGGTGAGAGGTAAAGTCCTCCCATTGGAAGGGACATAAATATTTGGGAATGGTAATTTGATTTACCACAGAGGTTATTTTTATTCTCAAGAAGGTATCCTTTTGATTGACTTTTGGAATATTTATAAAATCATTTTTTTAGGTTTTTACTAATCATACAAGCAAGATTTTCTTATCTTTGAGATGGGGTTTAGTCCAATTTAATATTTTCTATTACACTACCAAAAATAAGAATTAAAATTACTTTGAAAAATCAATAAATATCTAGAGAACTCATGCATATAATTGTGATCAAAGTATAACCAACATTAACTTTATACACTGAACTAACTGAAATCTTTACCATACCACTCCAAATGAAGGAAAATAACTGATTACCACCCCACTCCTGTTCCAGCCATCAGGAGACCCACAAAAATAATTTCATGTAGTTAATATTTTGGATGAGACCATTCAAGTAGTCTCTTCAAATCTGATGAAAATCTCTCTATTTTTGTGTGATGTTACAAGGAAGAGAGGTTTAATTTACATAGGTGGCAAATAATAGATTTTTATATTTAATTATATATGACATGTACATTTTCTTTTTAATCTAGCAATTCTTTCTGTAGTAATTTTTAACAGTTATTTGTAAATAGTTGGTATCTTGGGCACTGAGCCCCGCTTTGCTTAATCTTACTGTCTTTGCAGCAGTCTATTTCTATTTTAAGATACTTTGGTAATTATTGGTTTGTTTTCTAAAACTGGAGTAAATGATCTCATTTTGGGGAGCTAACTTCTTCTTAAATGATGTTTTATGATTAGATGGTTTAAAACAACTCTGGCTTTTCGATAACAGATATGACAACAAAATCACACTGCACAACCAATTTTATTCACTCATGGAATAATAATAATATTATTTATAGCTAGCACTTATAAAACGCTACTGGTATTGTTCTAAGTGGTTTACATATATTGATTCATCTAGTCCTCACAACCCTGTGAGATAAGATATTAATATTATCCCCATTGCATAGATGAAGGATCTGTAATACCTACTTTAATACAGATCTAAATTCAGCTTTGGAATAATAAGTCATGGTTGACAGGATTTATCAGCAAGACTAGGAAGTTGGCTAGTTAAAGCAGGAAACCAACAGAAGAAAGGGAAGTAGTAGCAGAAGCTGTTTAGAGGTTTCCTGAATCTTACTCTATTCTCTTAATAGAAGAATTTCAAACAAACAACTTAGTCAGTTCTTTTAAGCTGTTAAGCAAATTATTTTCTACTAGCTTTAGGTCAACAAATAATAACCTTTTAGTTCTTGTGAAAGGCAAAATCTGGAACTTATACATAGGTTACATTATGATCTTGAAACATTAGCTTTTTTTAATCTTCAAAGGAACTCAGGAACTCAGGAATTGTTTTTCTAGTTAGAACAGAAACAAAGTGCATAAATTCCAATTTTCCTTTGGATGGTTCATTACCTTCTCAATGGCTATGGGACCACAACCTATTGTGGGATGACTGCACTTAATATAGTAGCAAAGAGGAAGTCTATGAGTAACTCTGACAATCTAGCCATCTGTTAATCTGGAGACCCATTTTCTACTTGTAGATACGTTGGTGGACTATTGTACGTGTATAAAATGTTTTTATAGGGATAGATTTTGTTTTATATGATGACATAACAGGTAAATGATTAATGGAAATAGTAATTAACTCCAATTCATGGTTACCCAGTTGTCTTTGATTTAAAAACAACTGAAGATTAAAAATATTACATAACATAAAGGAATCAAATGAGAATATGAATTTTATTTATAGTAGTTTTAATTTGCTGTCTATAACTTTTTTGGGGTTTTCACAAAGGGATTAAATTTCATCAGACTCTAAGTTCTTCTAAATGTTAGGAGTAACATGTGTCCATTTTTATAAGCTCATCCCTGAAAGTAGAAACTCTAGAAAACAATCCATTACTAGGTTTGCTTTCCATATTTGTTAAGTGTACTATAAAGTATTTAAACCTTTAAACATTAGAAAGAATTTTCACTTGAAAATTAGAGAAACTAAGATAAAAACCAGGAGGAAAATAATAACTGGATTTGTCAATAGCTTGGATGTGGTTGAGAGAAAGGAGACAGTCAAAACTGATAACCAGTTATACCTAAGAGGTCATACAGCATTCAGGTTTATGCGTTTGGTAAGTCAGACTGGAAAGGTTAGGCAGGGCTAGTATTTGTTACCTTTCCTCCAAAAGTTGATATTCCTTTTCCTGAATATATTATTATTTTGACTCTTCAAATTTTAGTGACAGGTAACATTAAGTAGTAATAAAAGATCTATAAATAATTTGCAATTGTCTTAACTTTTTTTAAGGCAATTAAGTGATTTACACATGATAGCTTTTTCCAGGTTCTTCCGGTTAAATAGCAGACAGAAAAAATTTAAACATGGCAAGACTCTGACATGTCAAAGGTCACATAACCTTTAGGTACAGCCAGATTTCCTATTAACCTAGTACTATATTTTAAGACCCATTAGATTACTAAATCTGGTGATCAGTTAATGATGTACCTGACATACATACTGTTTCTTAAAAATTATCCCATTAACTTTTGTGGATCTATGCATTTAAACGTAATTGTTTCGAGAAATCTTCTAAAACCCTTTTGTCATGTTGTGCAGTGCATAGGTAGTCTCAGAGAAAAACTCAAGAGTTTATCAGAATCTTGGCTCTTTTTCCACAGGTCCAAAAGGATAAATGGATAGAGTGATACTAAGCTGAAACCATTTAAAGAACCAGTATTCGGATGCACCTATTTTAAAATGATGAAGCAGCTTTTAAAATAGAAAAGTATCCAAAATTTTGCTTTCCAGCAAACTAGTGTTAAGGGAATCACTGCTGTCCAAAAATATTTTTGAGATATCAGTGTACATTAAAAAAATAATTTTTTAAAAGGAAAGCAGTCGTATTCTGGAATTTCTCCCTCTCTTCACCCGCGCCAGATCTCCAACCCTCCAAATGGCTAAGTCGCATAGCTGAAAGGATTTTGCTCATTTTTTCCAAAACACTTCACATCTGGGTAGTGGCCAACCATGGAAAGTTTCAAGTAAATGTAACATTTGGGAGGGAGACGAGGCTCATCTGGGGCTGCCTTCTTTGGACCGCGGCTACCAGAGGTGTCGCCTCATGCCCTTACCGGATAGCCGGGGCCAACTGCAAGCTTGGACCAGCCGACCTCCGACGGCCCAGGCAGACGCCAGCTCCGGCCAACCCGGCCGACTGCTGGCCCCTCGGCTGCAGGGGCTCTTGCCCTTCAGTCTCCCCAACGGGTTCGAAGCCCCATAGTCCAGGAGCCAATCCGTTTCGTAAATGTCGAGACCCCCGAGTCCCCAGTTCCCAACTAGCGCAGCCTCGCGGTTGGCAAAGCGAGAGGGAAGGGACTAAGCTAGAGCCCGGCCTGGCTCCCACGCCTCACACGTCAGTTTGGTTCCCCTCCCCACCCGCCTGCCCGCCACTCCCCCGCCCGACTCTTCGCGCACCGGGCGCGGAGAGAAATTTGACTGCTCCAGTCACCAATCAGGAGAGAGGTCGAGGATATGAGCCAATCGGAGTGGGGAAAAGGGGTAGGACGCGCGCGTCCTCCCGCCCCCGAGAGGGTGAGCGCGGAATGTCTCCGGCCCTCCCCTGCGCCTCAGCCTCAGTGCGGAGTCCTCCGCGGCGTGAGGAGAAGCGGTAGCGGGTAACCTCGGTGGCGCAGCAGAAGCTGCGGGAGCCGGAACCGAAACCACACCCACGTCGCTGCTCCTGTCCTCTTCTGCCCTCTCGGCGTCCCACCGGAGACCGCGTTACCGGAGGAGAGCGGCAGCCCACTCCCCGAGCATCCTCCCCTGTCGAGCGGGTGCTGACAGACCCAGCGGCATGATGCGACTGCTAGGCTCGGCGATGCTGCGGGACCTGCTCCTGCGGCCTCCCGCCGCCACCTGCGCGGCTCTGCGGCGGGCACAGCCCCTCGCCACACAGTGCCGGCGTCCCCAAGGCGGGGGACAGGGGGCCGCGGGCCCAGCGGCCGCCGCGCGACTCTACCCGTGGTGGGGCGGGGGCGGCCGGCCGGCGGGGCCCCTCGCGCGGGGACTGTCTAGCTCCCCTTCGGAGATTCTGCAGGAGCTGGGCAAGGGGGGCCCGCAGCAGCAGCAGCAGCAGCAGCAGCAACCCGGGGCGTCGCCGCCCGCGGCCCCGTCGGCTCCCGGCCCCAAGGACGGCTCCGGGGAGACTGACGCGCTCGGCAACAGTGAGGGCAAGGAACTGGTGGCCTCAGGCGAAAAGTGAGTGTCTCCGCTCGGCGGAGGAGCCCTCCCCCTGCGTGGGGCCCGAGCGCGGGCCCGGGAGGGGCCTGCGGTGGGGCGGGATGGGAGCGGAGGTTCGAGAAAGAGAAAGAAAGAGATGCCGGGCGGCCTGCGCAGTCTGCGCCATGTGATTAGGGCCCGCCCCGCCCGCGCCTTTTCCCTGCCGGCGCCCCTCCGCTAGGCCCCCACTTCCCTTCCCCGCCCCCGGCGCGGGCCGCCCGGGAGGAGCCGCGGAGGGGCCGGAGGGGCCGGCCTGGTCCCCCGCCCGGGAACTGCGGCTGCCTGGCCCGCGCCGTGTGCTCCGCTCCCCGGCTGCAGCACCTGGCCGCCTGCCCAGCTCTCCGTGGGTGATGCCACATGAGCATCTCCACCGAGTGACATTTAGGAGTCGGGTGTTGAGCATACCCTGTGCCTTCCCGACTCCTGACTCGTCGCTTTTCAGGCTCGGTTTCCGCTCTAAGCCAGCCCTCCTTCGATCTCTGCCACCATCTCTTTAGAAACCTAGCGTGGCGGAATATTCTTAGTATTTCTGGAGTGGCTCTTTCAGGCGTGGTGTGAAGCCATCTGGGGCACCGGAAATAATGTTTTCGAAACGAGATTAGGAGGAAAAGAGTCATGTGGCCGAGATGGGGCACGCAGTACAAGACTACCTGTTTGCAGTGGGGACCAGCTTTGGTCTGATGTCTTTCATGAGATGGGCGAATTTTTAAAAATCAAAATCAAAATAGCCAAGATGAAATGTGACTGGTAAAACACTATGAAAAATCCGAGTTATGTAGCTTTTGTGACTTAAATAGTGATAGAATGTTAAGTCATCTATGCCACACAGTTTTGACTTAAAACGAAATCGTTTTTTCTTACACAATATGTGAAGCAGTTTCTTAGATATTTTGTGTAATATAAATGGACCCAAACTTGGTTTTCCCAATGTGGGTAAAAATATTTCTGTATGCTTTCTTTATACTTTACTACTTTGCTGACATTTTACTGACATTATGCGACCTCTTTTGCCTCCCCGTGGCTTATGTTACTGTCTCCAGCCTCAGATCACCTTAAGTCAAACTGAAAGTGTCGTTTGATTTTTATATTTTCAATCTCAGGCCTGCTTAACGTTTCCTGTAATTGAAGTTGGCACCTTCCTAAAACATTCCAAGCTGAAGTTTTCCCAGACTGAAAAATGTTACTTAAAAAAAACACACTGGGTGATGGGCAAAATTTGTGGTATTCTGTGATAATGGTTTTGTGCCACAAAGTAGAGTTAGGACCATAGGCAGGTCATTTAACATCTTTAGTTAGATGATTTAAATCCCTTCAGCGTCTAAAAAGCTAGACTTCTGTTAAATTTCTACCTCTCTCATGTTTTTTAGGGACTAGCATGTGTGTGCTTAATCTCATCTGGTAGGTACTCTCTTGTACCTTATCATCTGGTTTACCAGACCTGGAACTAATTTAAATACCTGAGCCCAGAGTTACAGAATTGCAAAATGCAATTGCTAGCATTTAAAAGTTGTCCTTAAAGGCTATAGGATGGGAGCAGCTTTCTATTGAAAATGTCTTCCAGTCTGTGTCTCTTCAGTGGCTTTAGTGTCCCTCTTTTTTTCCTTTTTGTCAGATAGGAAATTGAGCTCAGACCTTTCTAGCTTCTTTGTCTTCAGAATAAGAAATTATCTCTTAGCCTTAACTTTGAAACACTTTGGCTAATACTTACTGACAATAAAAATTGTCCTGTACTATATCCTAACCACCAAAGAAAACTGGTCTAGAGAGGGAATCCTTCAAGAATATTTGCTCAGATGCCCCGGGAATTTGAATGACCAGTAAGATAATCTTGTTTACCTTAGTTCAAAAGAGTTTCTTTTTCTGCCACCGAAGTTTGGAGTAATAGCTAGACTGGCTCAGGAGCAATCCAAGTATATGATCATCCTGAGAGCTTTCATTTTTTTTTTTTTTTTTTTTGAGAGCTTTCAATCAAGGATTTAAAGAGTGAACCTCAGCTGCCTCCAATCCAAATATAAAGTTGAAGAGCACTGGCCTCAAGATTGCCAAAAAATTTTTAAATCATACTAAAGATTCGATTTCCTGAATGATCTGGTTTCCAAATGTAGCTTTCCTCCTTTGACTCCTTCCATTTTGCCTTTATGTGATAAACATTTCTCTCATTCTGGGAGGTAAGCTTCCAGTTGATCCTGTTATCCCTTTCTAATGCTCAGCTTCCAAAGCATAGTTCATCCCTCAGTCAGTAAGCCATCTGGATGCCAACACTCAGGACTCTGCCAGGTTTTATGGGGGATTATTAAAAGAAATAACCATGTGAAAATTAAATGAGTTGACATTTTGTAAAAGGCTTAGGACAATATTTGATATGTGTTAAATACTACATAACTTTATTAAATAAGGAAATTGCTTCATTTATTGTAAAACATGACAAGGACATTGGCCTTTGAATTTTAGGCTCGCACATGAGAATTTTCTTTTGGTTTCTTAGTTTCCAGAAAAAATTTCTCTTGAGAAATTATTGTACTTTTTATATGAAACTATTTAATTTGCACTGTTTATCTTTTTGGCCTGTTTACCAGTAAGCTCAGAGTGAATTTAATAACCATAGCAATTTTATTAATTAACAGGGCTGAGATATTTCCTTTTCCTACTTTACTTGGTCTGACTATATTTTATTAACCTTACCGTATTATTTTCTGGAAAGAGGTGGGATATAAGCAAGTTAACCTACTTATCTTATTTCCATAGTCAAATTCTTTGAACTAGTGTCATCCTAGGCTATGCCATCTCCTTCAACCAACTACAGTCCGGTCTAGATTCCTGATTTAGCTTAAGATTTTATTGCTATCTTAAATATCTTATAGAAAATGTAATGATCTTTGCCCAGTTTTGACTGTAGTGTACTTAATTTTTGTTGCTATCATTTCATCATTTTGAAAACCACTTGGCTTGGCTCTCTTAGTTTTTTAAATTGTTCTCTTTGCTTTCCTGGCTCCTTTTTGGATTTGCTCATTGAGTAAACCCTGAGGCTAAAGCCTTTGCTTCTTTCCCACTTGTCTGCCTTCTCAACAGCATATGTCTTTTCTCAGCTTTGACTCTCATGGTAATATTTCATCTCTCATCCACACTCTTTTCTCACATTTATCTCTACATATTTGATGACCCAAATTTAAAATCTGTACCCCCATATTCATTCTTCTGTCCCATTTCAATCTATTTTGCATACTGTTCTGAGATTAATTATAGAGTTTTAATTTCAAACTACCACTCTCCTTCCAGAATACCAGTACAGGCTGGGAGTGAGCATTATATCAAAATCACAGACCATGCTGCAGCATTCAGTATTCTTGATCAACCTTAATGCCAAATGCTTGCCCAGCATGGACATTTTATCACACTGTTCTCCATCAAGCATGCCATGCTTCATTTCTGTAAAGCTCAGAAGTGGGTATCCTGTCTTAATGAAGAGTCCCTGAAAAAGGCTAGCAGGTGGGGATGAGGCACATTTTTGTTAACCTTTTGTTTGGACATTTTATTGTTTAATTAGGAAGGAAAAAGGTATAACAGAGAAGAACTAGGCTGGGAAAATATCAGCACATGTATGTTCTTTAATAAGCAAGTAATTCATACAGGGTACAATATTGACAATACAGGAAACAATATTCCATTAAAACAAGGAGATCATTTTTCCCCTATCAGATTGGCAGATGTTAAGTTAAATCAAGTGATGTAGAGGGTTAGGGGAATAGGAACTCTTACACTGCTAGTGGAAGTATAAATTAGTTCAGCTATTTTGGAGGGTGGTTTGGTAGTATCTGTCAAAAACTGCATACTCGTGATGCACTTAGTAATTGAATGTTTGCTCATCTGCATGAAGTCATGGCATTTAAAAATATATTTTAAATTAAATGTGCATATAGTTAAAAATATATTGGGGTGCCTGGGTGGCTCAGTCGGTTAAGCGGCTGCCTTGGGCTCAGGTCATGATCCCAGGGTCCTGGGATCGAGCCCGGCATTAGGCTCCCTGCTCGGCAGGAAGCCTGCTTCTCCCTCTCCCACTCCCCCTGCTTGTATTCCCTCTCTCGCTGTCTCTCTCTCTCTCTGTCAAATAAATCAATAAAAAATCTTAAAAAAAAAAATATATATATATATATATATATGTATTAAGGGGCACTTGGGTGGCTCAGTTGGTAAGTGTCTGTCTTCCGGCTCAGGTCATGATCTCAGGGTCCTGGGATCAAGGCTCTCTTCCTCCTCCCCCCCCCCCCCCCCATGAATGTGACTTCTCTCTCAAAATAAATAAAATCTTAAAAAATAAATAAATAAATTTATATATATATACACACACACATATATATAAAGTGAAAGAGCAAACGAATATTTTTAGCTAGCTTTGGATTGTGTAACTTATTTTGGTAGTTAATATTTATTAAATGGAAAGTGAGGGGCAAAGAATCATTGAATCATAATGCTGTAAGAATTAAATCTCAAAGTAAGATTAAATGCCTATGCATTTCAGCAAATGCTGAATTGGGCCTATACAACAGTATTGATAATGAAGTTGAGACAGTATTTGGCAGATATAGATCATTTTAAAGTGAAAGAACCTCTCTGAAATAGGTGACAAATTGTCATCCTTTAATAATGCATTTGCTTTTAATTTGTAAAAGTGAACATGTTTACAATTCACTTAAAATCAAGATTGAAAGTATATTTAATTGGGGGATTTCGGTGAACCCCTCTGATTTTATTTGTGATTTTCTCTATTAAAAATGTTTTTCTAGATTACAGTTAATCCATGAGTTTTAGTTATTCTTTTAATGACCAGTCATAACATACACCATAACATTATTTGCTGTCTGATACTTATATTAAACCACATGCATCTATTTAGTCATGGACATAACTGTGGTAATTTGTAATTAACAAACTGCATACTGCTTATTAATTTTTAGATGAAGTTCACTGAAAGAGCATGAATT